TTACAAGCATTATAAATTAGTGATTAAATATTTAAAATAATCTATTATCCAAGAGCGAATGTTAAAGCTACGTAAATTTCAAGATAAAAGGAATTACAGCTTCAAATGCCCATATTAAAATTTGATTGTAATAATTCTTATACATTTAACATACGAATTTTTTCATATAAAAGAATTAGCCATTTTTGGCGAAGGAAATTCAGAAGTCAAACAACAAAAATCAGCGTTATATTTGATATATATTGATTTTTGTTGTTTGACTTCTGAATTGGTATTTGTTCGGCGTGTTATTGTGTTTTAATTATCGAAAGAAAGGATATGTTTTTTTTGACTTAAAAAATTCATAATAATAATAATAATCAGGATGAATAAAATAACAAATAAATTTGGCGAAATTTACAGAAAACATGAATTAAATTTTTAATGATAAATATTTTCTACCAGAAAATTAGCAAACAGACGGATACCAAATTAGTTTCAACACACTTTTCCGAAGTACTTCATTATAAAAAAGGTATAACAGAGTAACACAGGCACGAGAGCGAAACACTTTTAGTTCATTCTTTCAACGCTTAGTTCAAATTATCTTTCTTGAAAATAATAAAGTACACAGTTTTAATAAAATTCAATTCTAAATGACCGCTAAAATATTGGTGTTTTTTATTCAGATTAATGCTATTTAATTGGTATGATTTTAGCAATCTTAAGGACCAGTTTTTATTATTACAGCCGGTCCTATTGCTGTATCACTTCTAATACAATATTCCATGCAGTAAAAATCTTAATGTTTCTTTACAGAATAACTTAATAACTTGGATATTTCGTATCAGAAGACGCGGATAGAAATTTGCATGTTTACTAAAAGATGTCACTTTCGTATTAACTGCTAATGGTCTACATCCAACCGTTTCATAGATATATAGTCATGTGCATTATAAAAGGAATGGTGTACTTGCTATATAACATAACTATAAGATATTATTGTAAAACACTATGTAATATGAATGAAATTAAAGCATGCATTAATTCATTATTCAAACATAAATATTTAACTTTATCTAAAATCTATCCTATAAATGAAGTTGGCCGGTTTTCAAATTACTTCCCAGTATGCTAGCAAAAACACAAAGCAAACTCCAAAACCGTTTGTAGCAATATTTAGGAAGTGAGTAAAACAACGTATAGAAAGTAGTCACGTGCATAATAAAAGTTTATTATGAAAAGAATATTGCAGCGTCGCTCATAGTGTATTATGTAATCAAACATGCTTATAAAAAACTGGCACAAAAGAAATTAAAAATATAAGACAATAAATTTATTTAAGTGTTAGATTCCAGTTGGGTAGTGCTGTATTTCGCCTTTTATTACTGAGTTTTATGTGTCTTTTATCGTCATTTTATTATGTTCGTAGTGAAAGTATTAGGGTTGTAAAATTGCTTCTTCACATCTCTAAATAAGTTTTGTAAAATGTCCTTTGAGTATCAAGGGTTAAGATTAACAATCTCTGACATTCCTTATCAAAATGCAGATAGACGAAATACAGTTATTGTGACAGAGGATTATAACAAAGAAAATGATTGAGTAAAACTGACAACATTTCAGGAAGTCTTAGTTCCTAGCTGTTCCTAGTAAGTGAAAAATGTATTCACTTACTAGGAACAGCTAGAAAGCTTAAAATGGCTACTGTGATGCAATTTGGTATAAATAAACTATTAACACGTGTACCACCAGAATGTATAAAAATGTATGCTAAGTGATAAAATGCTTATAAAATCTGAGGTCAGACCTAAAGTCACATCATTTTGAGACTAAGACGTACATTTGTCAAAAGCAGGCTATTAAAAACCTTTTAAACAGAAGGACTTCTGATCCAGTGTGGAAGTAAAAAAATGGTGCCGAACTTTTCATTGATTTTTATTGCTTGGTGTATGTACATTTGAAGACTTAGCTATAGGGGTTTGCGAGAAGACAATTTATCACATCCGCTGCAAGTTTGAGCACTTTTTTTTTCATTTCTTTCCATGCTCTTTTTATCCTCGTGACTACTGACGATGAGGAAATTGTTTCCTGTTTCGAATCGCTTCCTTTTTTTCCCCAAAACGTTTTAGAGCTAGAAGGAAGGTGAAATGAAAGGAAACGATTTTAGAGACTCTACTTCGGAAACGAAGCATCAGAAATTCTTTCTTACCCATTAATATGAAAAGAAGCATTTTTATAAACATTGCAGAGATCGTATTAAACTGAAGTTCATGATAAAAAATTATAAATCAGTGTTATGAAAATTGTAATAAAACAATAAAAGAAGACTGGCAAAATAGTAAGTAAATGTTTTTAAAAATAACATATTGGGAAACATTTTTGATTGAGGAAATTAAAGTATACAATTTAGAGATTATTTATGAATTGCATTCGACTCAATGTTAGCAGAAGAGATGACGTTCTGATGAGGATAACGAAAACAGATATTTCAAATAATAATACAACTAAATACAACGCCAAGCAAAGTAAGTTCCCCATACCTTAAAACCATCAGGAACAGCAGATAGGTTGACCAATAACAGAAAGTGCATACGCAGCCATATCTTACACAGGAAACAAGCCTATACTCATGGTTTCAAGGCTAGCAGTTATTCGGACTTACATTTACCGGATAAACAGTTAATTAGCGAGGAATTTATATAAATGAAAGCAAAGTTTTCGCCATTAATATTAAATTTCAATGAAAGGGAAATTCCTTCCTTTTTCAAGCAACTAAAAATCAATAATTTTAAAAAGTGACATACATTAGAAATATTTTCTTTTCTGAATAAATGATTTAATTAATTGTCAGGCTTGTATAATCAAAGACTTTATTGGCATAATTTGAAAATATCAGTATAGTTATATCAAAGACTTATAAGCAAAATAGTACATCATTCATTTAAAATTACAAACCTCATGCAGAAATCTTTCAATATTGTAGTAGTTTATGACGAAAGTAACTAATCTGTATATTGTAAATCTAAAGTTGCTTTATTTTGCATTATGCGTTTGGGACACTCTATAGATTTTAGGCTGCTTTTATATATTACAAAGGGAAGGGCGAATGCATTCCGTAATAAATACCTTATTTATAAACACAGCAAAAAATTCCTAAATGTGGCTTTCTGGCAAGGCAAACATGCTGACAATACTAATTTGTTCCACTTAGTGTCCAGAACAAGAATCGTTATTATCGTTATTGACATAAACCAGTTTTCGACTGTGTTGCAAATCCCACACATTTACGATATTTGACAAAGTAAAGAAAATTTAAGCTCAACACAAGTGGCGTAGTGGAAACACGAATGATATAAGTTGTTATATTTTTATGAAGTTCATCTTATTCCCGATTTAAAAATAAGTTAATGCAGTTTCCAAAGGAAAGAAAAGTAAATTTCTATGAAAAGCGTAATAAGAAGTTTGATTATTAAACGCTCTTTTTACTTCCTTTGTATGAAGTAAAGGAATTGTTGTAATAGCGAAAAATTACGGGTATCACACTTCAACAGAAACATGCATTTTTATAGCTCCGAAATCCATATAGACAATTTTTCCATGACTTCTGTACGTACGGATAGAAAGGTTCTCCATTATGAAACGGCTAAATCACCGATAGATTCGGTCAAAAGCCTTCGAGTAAGTTTCTCTCTCTCTTGACACACACGCACATATATATACACATATATATGCAGGGTGCCCCATTGAAAGTAGATAAACGCTGACATATAAGGTGGGATATAATTAGAATATCTTCAGTGAACAGATAGCGGAAAACGCGTGTAAGTTATGGGATATTCACGATCAGTAATAAGTGGATGTCGCCTTCACAGCCTCTTACCACTAAATATCCTGTAATAATATCTGGCATCTATAAAACATTCAGACTGCTTTTTCACGAATTTAGTTGGCATATTGAGGATGTACCGTAGTAAAAACTGGCGTTCAGTGCATGGCTGTATCGTAAATTATACTTTCTGCCCCCTCTGTGTTTAAAAATTACACTTTGTTTAACTTAAATACCATAGTCATAGACCTCTTTGCAATACGGCGTTCGAAGACATTATTCTGACCCCACCCACCCACACACACACACACACACACACATATATATATATATATATGCATACACATGGTGTCTCAGCATATATTACCACGTTTGCATGTAAATTTTAATTTGCTGCCAACGTACTGAGTGAAATAATGATTACGAGATGAGCTGTAAATTTTTATTCATTGAGATGAACGTAACTTTCTATCCTATTACCTATTATCTTTGAATGAAAACGGATGTATGAAAGCATGAATTTGACATTCAAACTCCGTTACATATTCCTCATGCCATTCTACTAGAAGGCGATGTCTGTGCAACGGTAGTCAGTGACAGTAGTGAGAAGCTAAGCGTGTAGGATGTGGATGGCCGGAACGGCCTAATAATATCTCATTAATAACTTATTTATCATTTTATTTATTGATAGTTCTCGATATAAGTTATCGTACCTAAAGATTAATTGCACTATTTACAGGACCATTTCTTCCCGATCAGGGCACGCGAGAAATGGTAAAGATTTTTAATAGTGTTCCCATAGCACATATCTATCATCCATTCACTTTAAACACATGAAAGAAGCTACCATACATTACAGGAATGTGTATTTATACTATTAAGCACTAAGAAAGGCACTATTCAGACTAGAGTCGGCTTCAGTCTGAATAATACCTTTCCAACAGGAAATGTTTATTACTCCAGCCAAGAAGAGAATATAATGTTTATTTAACGGGCTACAAGCTAGAAAATCGTCCGTCACCGTGTTCGGGTTCAGTTAGTCGCTGAAAACTGCTACTACATTTAATTAATAGCACAAAGCTACCAACCAAATTTTAATAGTGAGCACTGAATGCAGCGTGGTCGTTTTAGAAAATTTTGAAGTTTGGTTCGGTCGAAATTTGCAGTGACTTCTGTAAGCTCATTTTATACATACTTTGAGCAGGATCTCGGACACCACTGTATATCCATGAGTGATAATGGGCTCTTCGTCTGAATTTCTTCCGTTCCAACAATCGAGTTCAACGCACCTGCAACCGGTGAGTAATGTCTGTCTGTACATCTCTACGGAGGATTTGCCTGTTAACTGATGGCCTATAGAAAGACATAAAAAATTTCATTTAATGACTGAATAACTTCTTTCAATTAAAAAATGGAGTCCTTAATTTATGATAATTATATGAATTTACAGTTAGAATTTACTATATTTTATGAATAGAAAATGCTTCTTTCTTCTTTTCAAAATAATTATTATAATCCAATGATTAATGCATAAAACAGCTAGATAATTTGCAATGTAAGGTAAGTGCATGATGTAGCTTGAAATTAAGTCATTTAACCACAAATTCATAAAAGTATTGATTTCGTCGCGAAAATAGAAAATAATAATTAAAAATAACCTTTTTAAATTAGTTTATATTACAGACTTAAATGGATTTAAAAAAATTCACTGTAAAAGCAAAGCCTAAGTATGTGAAAAAATTTATCAAATCGACGATATTCAAAACTTAAAATAATGATTAAGAATAAGGTAACTGAAAATTCTATTATAGGCGAATGATTTAAAATACTCTTAAGTGATTATATAAGTAATCAACAATTTAAAAGTGTGTAAATAGCAAGAACTATTTTAATGATATAATAGTTTTGAACGTAATTCAATAAATGCACATTTTTTTATTACACACAAAATGAAAAAGAAAATAATAAATAATGTATTAATAATAAATAATGTATTACGTACCACTGAGGTAAGTGTTATGGGATGAATTGATGAAATAATGACTAAGCGGCTGCTCCATATTTAGATTAATGTCCAACTTCTCCAGTGAGACGATCGGGTTGTCTTCTCCCATTAAATAGCGAAGAAACCCAACCTCAGAAAGTAAACCTGAAAGAAAGATTGCACAAAGTCAATCACTAAGACACTTCAACGAATTCTTAACTTATATTATTATATCTTACTTACACGACTACAAGCAGACCTTTGAGTACATATTCCATAGTTCAAAGAATGTCCCCTAGATTTGAGTCGGTATCAGTAATACATTTGGTAAAAAGTTGACACCTTCTTTGCTGATGCAATCCAAAATTTAGAAAGATATTGCCAGAGGCTGCCACAGATAAGTTTCTTCAAATTTTGTACAGATTAGAAGGTGAAAAATAAGTTACCAAGCTCTTGCTACTAAAGGGGAGATTTAGCTGTTTTTTTAATAATAAAACCCTGTCATTATACTGTAGAGATTAAAAGAAAATATATTTTATTTGCTTAGATGACATCGTATTTTGTTGCCTGTCAGAGGTACAGGATTAATGAAAGCAACGTCAGATTGAAAGGAAACAAAACGTTTGCGTGTTGCCAACAAAGAAAAAACATTTCGAAGGTTTAAAATATAGTCCTCATTATACAATGAATGTTGCGTTAATGTATTTTATGAAGAAAGAGGGTTAAAAATGATTTTGAAAATTTATTTAAAAAGTCAAGATTTACGAAAAAGTTTATATTAGATTCAGCTCTTAACGAAGTTCTGAGGTTTTATTTGCTCGGTAGGCACATGCCAGCTGTGAAGACATTTTCAGAAAATTAAGGAAATGAACTGATACAATTTCAGCACTAATGCAGTTAGTTGAAACGAATTCCTTTCTCAGTCAAGTGAGATATGCTGACTAAACTCCAGTATATTTTAATATGGGTTTAATTCTTTAGGTAAATTAAGTGCTTTTAATAAGATGCTTGAATAAATTTCTATTAAAATTGTTTTAGTAGTTCACAAAGTAAACTTGCGATTTAGCTTGAAATGTTGTGCGTATACTAATGGTCGTGTATAAACCGCACTCTTTTCGATAAAAGGCAGATTAAAATCAGGGACTCGGCGTATACATGCAAATAATTACATATAGGTTTGTATAAGCAAACTCTGAGGATAGCATGCTGTCGGTAATACTAGTATCAGTACCGCTACCAGTGATACTGATACCAGTAGTGAAGGTATCTACTCTAGTGGTAACCATAGTTATACTAAATAAGAGGTGCTGAACACAGTAAGATGTTACTTTTGACCGGTAATAAAAATTTTGAGTAGCAAGTACTGTTTTCATTTTAGCTGCTGTCACACCTCCAAACCGATAAGCATATTATCGATGAAAGATAGGCTATCCATGGTTTATCTTCGAACTTTTTTTTAATTAGAGGTAAATTTAACGATTCGGCTTATAAAATACGGATTTTTTGCTTCATGCAAAACGAGATTTTACCATATAGTTAAGGAAAATTATTGGACTTCCCAAGGACAGTCGTCATGAATTTTCAGGTGTGACCAAGCACATGAGCAAAAAACTATAGCGTTTCGCAACTGTCCACAACATACAAAAGAAGTGGAGTACGCATCAACAATATTTCCAAAAACAACTGAAAAATCTAAGGTATCAGTAAATTAAATAAGGTTGAGAGTTGAGAAAAACCTAACAGGAGGCATGCGTGTCATACAGTGACCATTGCTTGAGTAATGCGGTATGGAAGAGAAGCACGTTCCACTTCAAACAAATAGTATTTGGGAGTGCATGATTAGGGAAATAGCTTCTAATCCTCACGCTGTGAAACAGGTATTAGTGGTGAAGACGGCATAAAAGACGACTCAGACGACGGCACAGTTCCAGTGCGCATTGTCAAGCGTTTTGTTCAATAGTCAGTTCAAAAGCAACAAACAATTCCCTAAAAAGATAAAACACCACCGAATAAAATGCAACAACATGTCACGGCTTCATGATATAGTTTTTACTTTGGGAATATAAACTAGCTAGAATTCTCGAACAGTCGTACATAGAGTTCTAGATGGTATGTAACATAAGAATCACTGACGACAGAATGCTTTAAACTTCATAGATACATTGCGTTTGCCGATCTAAGTATAAAATATTGCGGGTAAGTACTCCCTTTTATAGGTGATAATTTTGAGGTTGTTATCATTCGCAAAATGATGGATGCATTTCCCTCCCTGTTACTTTGCTTGTTTGTTTTAGAATTCCTGTAAATTTCTTTGCATTTGAAGGCGAAACGTTTTCTTGTTAGTTGATTTTATTTGTAAGTTATATACATACACTCTGCTCTTAAAAGGCCTTGCGTGTCCTTTATTTTCGGAATTACTGATTGTAGATATAGAGTTCGAGTTACAAAAGTGTTTAAAATGATGTAAATATTGATGTTTGGGCATTTTAAAACTTAAAGAAATCAGTTCTTTAAAAATTGCGATATCTAATTTTTTATACTAAAGGTATTTCTCCCGCCTTCTTAGCATGCTTTCGTAGTGTATTGGTCAGCACGCTCGGCGCGTATTCGAGAGGCCCGTGGTTCGAATCACGGCAAAGGCGTTGCTCATTTTTCATGTTTCCTACTTTCAAAAAATAGCTAATATCTCTACAGTGGCGCCCGAACTAAAAGATGGTGAATGATGATTCTTCATCACCAGGATTTGGCGATTGGGTCCCCTAATTCCAGTCGCCTTTTAAAAGGGGGGGTATATAAGATATTTCTTTCGCCTTCTTAGCAGTCTTCGTGGTGTAATGGTCAGCACTTCGACGCGTAATCGAGAGGTCCGAGGTTCGAGTCTTGACAAGGGCAGTGCTCATTTTTCATCTCTTCTGCTTCGAAATAACCTAATGTCTCTACAACACCTTTTGGAGCGCCTTATATTTAGGAAAGTTTTGCAACCATTATAACGTATATAACATAAAAAGTTTGACGTATATAATATAAAAAGTTGAAAGACATATTTAGTTTCAAAATTTGCGATTTGGATGTCATGTTTTATATTCCTTTGAGGGCAAAAGTTAGTGAATAAATCTGAGTAGTTCGAGGTTGTTTCTTTGCCCTTTATATGCCATTAAATTATATTCTTTTTTGATTAATCAGTAGCTTTAATTTATTTATTTGTTACATTTTGTATGCCGAAGCAATTTCTCCACAAGTAATTCGTAAGTCTAAAAACACGTTATTATATTTTCTTAAAGTTCTATTGCATCAAAATAATAAATAGTCTGATCATCGTTCAAAAAGCTCATTAAAATATAAATGTTTGTCATTTCTAATTAGTGAAAGGATATAACTAATTGGCTAAGTGACAATACTGAAGACTTCTAGTGTTTTCTAGTACAGGAACCCTGTCAAATTTACTGGAAAAGATATCTAATTCGAAAATAGTTACATTGATAAATACTTTTCACAATGGTATATATAGAAGTCACTTTATCTCCGAAAAATCATAAATCTTTTCCTAAACTTTCATTTTATTTCTAGGTACGTACAAATGCAAACATTTCGCTCTTCAGTTTGTGCACGACTCTTGAATACGATCTTTGATTTTAATAACAAATATCTTAGTTAATTCTTGCCGTACAGGTGTGATATATTTTATCTTTTATTTCTTATAACGAGTGCAAAAGTGTCTTAAGTATAGGGACCGGAAAAACATACAGAGGTTAGACTTCATAATATTTACAGAATTTATTTCTGCAAAAAATGGATGATCTTTAACTAACGTTTCTATGCTACCACCACACTTATCGAATTCTCGGCTGTAATGCTTCTCAGTCGACATGAATTAACGCATGTATAGCAGTCATTTCAGGTTTTCGGTTATGTGATTCATTTTCAACTCTCTTTCAAACGTCTGTAAAAACCTTACATCGGTGGTACATTATAAAATAGAAAAAACTGCTCCAAAATAATTTTTAAGACTCGAATAAAACTAAGAAAGAGTGATATCTTTGTTAATCAAAAATCTAATAACAATTCGTCACGCAGCGCTGTTGTGAAGCTTCAGCTCCGACATGTCAACTGCAACTAATAGGGTGACAGAGAGTGACGCTCTGCAGTCGATAAGCTCAAACATGAGTGTATATCCAACGAGTCATGCTTACGTTGAATTCTTTACAAAAGCAGAATATAAAAATCCCCGAGTTTATTTGATTGTACCTTGTGTAGTAGTTTCTTCATTAATTTAATTAAGAAATTAAGATTTAAGTAATTAAAAATAATATTTAGTAAAATATTATCTGTACTTTTACATTGCACTGCGATTATGCGTTTCATATATACTATATATAGAGAGAGAGAGACAGAGAGAGAGAAAGACTTTTGTTAATCTTTCAATAGAGAAACTGAGAGGTATTTTATGGAATAATTTAACACACTTATAACCAAAGGTTTAATATTTAAGTTGTTTGCAATTTCCATAATAGGCGTTGAGTATGTTTTTTACTTGAAAAGATGTATTATCTCTTTACGCCCTTGTTTAATATGTTGTTCTGAAAGTTTAACCCTCAGAACTGTAGAAAAATCGCCGTCTGCTCTGAAGTTGATTAATTGACTTATTTATAGACAGTAAAATAATGATTACTTTTATAATATATACCGCCATTTCATAATGTATATTTACTACTTCTTTTATGGAATTTTAATTGCTAAGTAAAAAGGGATTAGTCAAGATTTCTTGGAAGCGTTTGCGGCTTCACCAGTTTTATTATCACTTTGCCTAGTAGATAAAAATACGATAACTTCATACCAGTTGAAGTAGTTAGAAGTAGCTAGAATTATGAAGGCTAACCTCTGGATGTGGGACTTGGCCGTTTTGAAACTGACGCGCAGTTTTCGCTAATAAGTTTATGTAAGTATAGGAAGATATAAAGAAATTTTAATAAAACTGCACATGATCATAATGTTTGTGTTTAAGTTTTAATTTTAATGCGTTTTTAATCTAATAAATTCCTTAATTATTGTTATACTTTTTTAACTTACAGTATGTTTAGCCTTCTTAGCTCTAAATAGCCCTAAAGGCTGACTGAATTAGTTCTATTATGCAAATTAGATCGAGAGAGTGATTAAATAAATAGGTA